AATCCATCATACCCTGCTGTCATCCTTGGCCTGGCCCAGTGGGGAGGGAGTATGGGGAAGCACCACTGCTTACTTCATGGTAGGGAGGGCAAAGAGACCAGAGTCTCATGGTACCTGTGAGGAACACAGCCCAGTGACTTAGGGGCTTCCCCTAAGTCAAACTAGGAACCACCATCAAAAATTCCACCGTCTTCTTACGACACAACTTTGGGACCTAGCCTTTGGCATGCAGACCTTTAGGGGGACACTTATCCAACCACAGAGGTTCACTTGGTCAGTTTCCATTGCTGGTGCCATCTCTGTGACTATCAGCCACATGGTATGCAGTCATTTTGCCCTTTCTTAGGGAAGACCCATAACATAGGTGTAAATCCTCACTGACCCAGGAAAGACACTCGAGAAGATGGTTTTCAAAGTTGATCATTAATAACAGCCCACTTCCCCCTCAGCTGCCTGTCGTGTGCTCCCCTGCCAGCTGCTCCCGCTCCTCACCCGGCAGTGTCCTGGCTGTAGTGTGGTTGGGCAGCTCTCCGTCCCCCAGGAGCCGCGCTCGTCTCCCGGGGGGTCACCCGGGGAGCATGTCACCTGGGGAGTATGCTGCCACCTATGCTTTGGCAGGCCATCTCCTCTCCTCTGCCTTTGCCCTCGATGGGAGCTGCTTCCCACTCACCAGGAATTTACTGTGAGCAGAGTACCCGGCGAAAAATATTTATGCCATGCTCGTTATTTTGGAAAAATTTCTTTTAAATCAGTGATCATAATAATAGTTGAAGGCATGTATTTATAAGGTGCCATTGTAATCAGAAATGGAGCTTTCATGCTGCATTCTGTGAGGAATTAATTACAGTGTCCCACCTGGCCTGAGATGCCTGACACAATAGTGGAAATGTAGAAGCAGTCAAGACTGAGGTCATCCGGTTCCTCCAGGCGTAAGCAGAGATTAGGAAAGCAAAGAGGACTCAGGCAACCATCATGAGGCTCCCGGGCCACAGGCAGGAGCAACGGAGCGAGAGTCCAGGCTGGGACACACTCATGCTTGCGCCCAGGGCCAGGCTGGGGAGGTGCCCCAGTGGGTCCCTTCACTTCAGGCTCAGCTGTCCGCTGTCTTGGAAGCATCCCAGCTCACCTGCTTTGGATGCTTTTGATAAGGAATATAAAATTATTTATCAACCTGAAAGTGCATTAACTTAATTCCGCTAATGATTTAGCAATAAATTTCTAACCATTGAAAGGTTAATTATCTCATTTAGCACACTAGGGCATCCAGCTATGGTCCTACTAAATAGTTACAACATGAATCTGAGAAAATGAATTTATAATCAAAAATGTTCCTTATTCAAAATGAAAATGAGCTTCAGAGTTTGCATACTTGTACTCCAAATCTGGGCTCGGAGTGAAGGATGTGCTGCTTGAATTTTCCTGAACTCAAAAGCTTCTTTATCTGGAAGCAGTAAATATTTCATCCGGTCATCATGGAGATGAAATGAGGTGAACTTTAGAAAATTGCATACATAGCAGCTGGCGTGTGGTAAGTAATAATTAAATGTTATTACTAAATTTTCCCAGAACAATAGTGGCCAGTGTTTTAATCTCCCTCAAAAATCTCCTTCCCAAATCCTTAATTCCTACCTCAAATCTCATCACTGAATATAATACATGACTGTAACACAGCCGGAGGGAAGGATGAACTTTTGAGTTAATGGAGAAAGGTATGATGGTATATGGTTCCCTTTTCCCTCAAGCTACACGTACCCCTCCTGTGCTGACCTTGCCCTGATCCGTTTCCTTCTTAAATGGTGAATTCAGTGGAGAGTAGGTGTAGAGGCTGTATCAGTCCCCACTGGTAATATGAACCCTACATGTAGAATAAACCGTTTCATGGGTGCTGGGAATAAGGACCAAGCTATGCTTTGTTTTATTTAGCTGTGCAATTTTGGGCCCTATCACCTCATCTCTTTGAATGTCCTGTCTCCTTATCCATATGGTAGATGTAATAATGCCCTCTTCGAAGTTTCTGCTAGGGTTATTGGAATAATTTAAATTTCTGGAGCATAGCAAGTGCTCATTTTATGTCAATTTTCTTCCCTACCCTTGTCACTGAGAGAAATCCCACAGCTGCTGTGTTGTCCTGTCAAGCCTTAAGGTGGTATTGGTTTTATGATGAGTGGGGAAGAGAGAAGCAGACAGGCAGACTGGTTGACTGGCTGACCAAGCCAGTGCCAGGGAAGGTGAGGATGCACTGCTGGAAGTTGTCAATGAATGGGCCATGATGATAGTAGACAGCGTACTTTTCCTTCCCACTGCTTCTCAGAACGTCTTTCTCCTCCTCCTCCTCTATCCTAGGAGGATTCCCACTGCTGTACCCATCTCTGTATCAGATGCTGTCCAGCCCATCTTCTGTACTTGATTCTAGCGTCATCTACTTTTCTTCTCAGTGCTCATGATAACTCATATTTGTTGAGCCATGTTGCACGGCACAGTTCTAGAATTTCCTGTCTGTTAACTCATTTAAACCCAAGGACTATTTCTGCTAAAAATGCTATTTCTGATTTCTGTCCCAGCCTAACAAAGGTGCAAACTAAGGCAGGAGAAACAGACCTTCCAGAAGACACACCGTGGTGTGTCTAAGTAATATTTCTGTGTGTTGATTTTGGGGTGTTTATGATTAGCTGAGACATAATTCTTACCCTTACGAAGGAGACTGTCCAGTGGAAGGATTCAGAACTATGCCTGTAACATGAAGAGGTTCTGATGACTTTGTCATGGGAGTGTGGCCTAAAGAAAGACCTAAGTTTGGGTGCTGGATGAAGTATGCAGTGGATATGATTTTACAGATAATTTTTACAGGTAGGGAGACCTACATATGAAAGATATTTCAGTGTCAAGAATGTGAAAGTTTCTGGGATGTGAGTTTAGGTCACATTTGCGAGCAGCAGGTCATTCTCTGGATTTGAAAGAGTGTGCAAAAATGCATGTGTGCACACATATTCTTGTGCTTGGAGGGGCAAGGATTCAACGAAGATTGAATTTTCCTGCTCAAACATTCTTGCAACAAATTTTTTATAACAATTATTGCCTTTCACAGTAGCTCTGGAAGTCTAGACAAAATTCCCAGGGCCCAAGTCAGGGTTGCTCCTTTCATTTACACAAAAAGCAGATGTTTCTTTCTAGGTTTGGGAGATACAGGATTTTGGACTGAGGGATTGATAGAATATTTTAAAATTAGATTTAAAATAATTTATCCAAGGTCTTCATAAGGAGAGGCCACCAAGGTAATAACAAGTACATTTTGAGCTTAATCCAGGAGTCAATTTCTTGACATTTTTATTAGTAGAAAATAGGGCTTGGTTTGTAACTGTGAATAAATACCTAATTGTTTCTGGAAGAGGGATCCACTTTGGCAACTTGGAACCCGGGGAAATGGAGCCAGTTCTGTCAGCCTCCTCCCTCCCCATGGCTGCGGCTTCTCCCAATCTTGTCCTCACTCCTCTGTCTCCTGGAAGCTTGGCGCATGGCCAGGGCACGTGCACCCCAAGCCTCTGCAGAGTTGGATTGGAGAGAAATTGGCAGCTGGCCAGGCAGAGGGAACAGACAAGAGTCAATAGGCCCCTAACATAATATACAGCTGAGGATGTACTCCTTGGTGAGCCGGGTAGATTATTTACCTACCCAAATACTTCAATACCAGCAAAGGCTTTGGCTATTGCTGCTATTCTGGAATACATTTCAGTGATAAAATAGTCAATCCAACTCAATTCTATAAAACTTCGAATATCTACTATGTACAAAGCTCTGTGATAGCAAGTCAGCAAAACAAAATGTAAACCCTTTTCTCATGTAATTCAAGAAAGTAGCCATCAGAAAGATTACGAACCTGCATTTCACAGTGCTGAATCATAGAATGGACTCGGGTCAGCCCTTTCTTGATTATCTGTGTGCTCATTTTACCCGTGGCACAGTTTCTTTCTGTGGTTTGATACATCATCTCCAAACACGTCCCTAACCTGGGATCAGTTTTCGCCATCTGCTTGCTTAAGGGCCGTACTGGCTGATAACAAGCTCTGGAATTTCTCGCACAGGCTTTCCGAGTTTTCGTGTATCATCTGCAGTGTCAACTACATTTTACTACTGTAATTTTACTACTCCTAACAATGATATAATCTTAAATTTTTTTCAACTCATGGTATTTTATTAACAGATTTGATAGCTATTTAAGCTCTTTTTTCTGTTCATATTAATTCATTGTATGAAATAATTATTTGTTTAGATCACCGTTATCATGCTTAAGAGTTCCTAGTCACTAAAAACCTAGAAGAGTAGAGATTATTTGAATAAGGAAAAGCCTTGCATACATGTGTGGTATAAATTTGTTGAACTTCAGAAACCTGGGAAAGGAAGAATATGCTTAAATTTAAATCTTTTTGCTTCTGTAAGTAACCACAATTTTAGGAAAGGAAATAGAGTGGAAAGGAAAGGACATTATGAAGTTAATATGACTGTTTAAATGATCATTTTATCAGTTTTTAAAGGCAATCTTTACTACCTTTATTTCCATTTCTGTTGTGTCCAGCCATAAGTGATTTAAGAAAAGACATTATAACTGACAACTAAATTTGTACTTAAGTTTAGATCTCCTCTGAACATTTTGCAATTTTTCACATATTAGACATCATTAATACTTTTGGAAAGTGCTAGAAATAGGATAAATTGGGGGTTGAATTTTGATAGTCATTCTAAATTTTCTTCTTTTCAGACCCTCATGAAGTTATGCAGAAATGAGAGGAATGCATGAAACTCCTCCCTCAGGAGAGAATGTCTTTCATAAGCAGAGCTCTGCATCTGGATTTTTGGGGACTCTGACAGTGTGACAGCCATGTCTGCCCTCCCTGTCACCTTCAGTGACTCAGAGACCATCTGAGCAGGATGCTGGCCTTGGACACACAGAGCTTCACCCTGACACCTTGCTTGCTTCTTTGGAGAGGAAAAGCTAATAGCTCTCCATGGTGGCTAATCTTTTCAAGAGTTTGATTTTACCTTATATACATAGGCTTTGCAAAGGAATGTTTACAAAGAAAGTGGGAAATACAACCAAAAAAAAGGAGACTCGTCAGCAGAAAAAGGATCAAGATTTTCCTACTGCTGGCCAGACCAAAACTCCCACCTTTTCTAATACTCTGAAAAGCACAGTGAAGAGAATTGCAAAGTGTTCCTCCACTCGCAACTTACCTGCTGAGCAGGGCGAGGCGAACAAAGACTTTTCCCTCTCACCAACCTTCAGTTACCGAGTTGCGATTGCTAATGGCCTGCAGAAAAACATTCATGTGACCGGCAGTGACCGTGAGAATCTGCCTCCAGAGCTGTCCTCTGTGGAGAGCTCCTACTCAGAATCTTTAAATGAGTTGAGGAGCAGTGTGGAGGACCATTCCCACCCAGCGTGCACCATGCCAGTGGGGCGAAGTAGGAAGAGCTCCAGCAGCCTGGCACCCTCTGAGGGCAGCTCTGATGGGGAGCGCACCCTGCACAGCCTGAAACTAGGGGCTTTAAAGAAGCTCCGGAAATGGAAAAAGAGCCAGGAGTGTGTCTCCTCTGACCCAGAGCTGAGCACTGTGAAGAGGACCTGGGGCATAAGGAGCAAGTCTTTGGACAGAACTGCTCGCCGCCCCAAGACCCCCGCCCTCGAGCCGGGGTTCAGCTCCTCTGGCTGCCTCAGCCACACACATGATGTTATGGAGATGATCTTCAAGGAGCTACAGGGGATCAGCCAGATTGAGACAGAGCTGTCTGAGCTGCGGGGCCACGTGGATGCCCTGAGGCTGTCCATCGATGAGATCTCCAGCAGCGTAGAGGTGGTGCAGAGTGAGATTGAGCAGCTGCGAACAGGCTTCGTGCAGTCCCGGAGGGAGACCAGAGACATCCATGACTACATCCGATGCCTGGGTCACACAGGCAGCAAGGCAAGCCTGCGGTTCTTGAATGTGCCTGAGGAGAGATTGGAATATGCTGAAAGTGTGGTGTACCAGCTTCTGACAGACAAAATGGGCTTCTCAGATGCTCCAAATTCTGTAAAAATTGAATTTGCTCAGAGAGTGGGACACCAAAGGGACTGTCCCAATGCTAAACCTCGACCCATACTCGTGTACTTTGAAACCCCTCAGCAGAGGGATTCTGTCTTAAAAAAATCATACAAACTCAAAGGAACAGGCATTGGAGTCTCATCAGATATTCTGACTTACGATATCAGAGAGAGAAAAGACAAAGGGATCCCATCCTCCCAGACCTATGAAAGCATGGACATGAAGTTGTCTATTCCAGAGCCCAGAGTAAAGAAGAACAGTTGGCATTCACCTGGTGACAGTGACAGGGAGCTGGAATCTGACTTCAACAGGAATAGTTATGCTGTACTTTCTAAGCCAGAGCCTCCAACCAAGGGGAGCACTTCCAAGTCAGGCTCAAAACCTCACAGTGCCAGATCTAAGAATAAAACCGTGAATAGCAGCAGAATTTCAAGCAAACCAGATCATGATAAAATGTCTTCACAATTGCCAGAATCAAACAACTTGGAAAGGCAAACCGTAGCCCAATATGCAGGTGCCACGCCTCTCTGGCACTCACAGAGTGATTTTTTCACTGCTAAACTAAGCCACTCTGAATCAGATTTTTCCAAATTATGTCAGTCTTACTCTGAAGATTTTTCAGAAAATCAACTTTTTGCTAGAACTAATGGGAGCTCCCTTCTGTCATCCTCGGACAAGGAACTGTGGCAAAGGACACAGGAGAGCACACCTGCCTTGTATGACAGTCCTCAAGACCAGCATCTGGGCGGGAGTGCTCCAGGTGTCCAAGTGCAAGGCAAACTTCAGAACACAGAAACTGTGGACAGTGGAATGAGTAATAGCATGGCATGTGCGTCTGCCGACCAGAGTCATTACAGTGACTCCCAGCTCTCTCTGCATGAGGATCTCTCTCCCTGGAAGGAATGGAATCAGGGGGAACAAGGAACTGATGTAGGCCTGGATTCATTCACTCAGGAAGCTCTTGACTATGACACGAACAGTCTGTCTGACCAACAGATGGATGTCTTCAGTAAAGACCTAGAGGACCTAGGAAAGTGCCACAGTGACCTTCAAGATGACTCTGAAAGCTACGACTTTACCCAAGATGACAATTCGTCCCCGTGCCCTGGATTAGATAATGAGCCCCATGGCCAGTGGGTTGATCAGTATGATTCTTACCAAGAAGCTAATTCTAATGAACTCTACCAAAACCAAAGCCAGTTGTCCATGCTGTATCGAAGTCAGAGTGAATTGCAAAGTGATGATTCGGAGGATGCCCCACCGAAATCCTGGCATAGCCGATTAAGCATTGATCTTTCTGACAAGACTTTCAGCTTCCCCAAATTTGGATCTACGCTGCAGAGGGCCAAGTCAGCCTTGGAGGTGGTGTGGAACAAAAGCACGCAAAGTCTCAGTGGGTGTGAGGACAGTGGCTCCTCCCTCATGGGGAGATTTAGGACCCTGTCTCAGTCTACTGCAAATGAGTCCAGCACTACCCTTGACTCAGATGTCTACACAGAGCCCTATTACTACAAAGCAGAGGATGAGGAGGACTACAGTGAGCCAGTGGTGGACAATGAGACAGATTATGTTGAAGTGATGGAGCAAGTCCTGGCCAAGCTGGAAAACAGGACTAGTGGTACTGAGACAGATGAACCCATGCAGGAATATGAGCCCCCTCTGTATGAGACACCATACGAAACCCCACAAGATGAGGGTTATGATGGGCAGGGAGAGGAGGTGGCCAGTGAAGGGGAGCCAGAGCCTGTAACCCAGCCAGCAGCTGAAATGCAAATAAAAGAGGATGAAAACCAAAACATTGCTGAACAGCCAGTGGAAATCACCAAGCCAAAGAGACTCCGTCCCTCTTTCAAAGAAGCAGCGCTCAGGGCCTATAAGAAGCAGATGGCGGAGCTAGAAGAAAAGATCCTGGCTGGAGGTACTCATGTTTCCATTCTGGATTATGAGCTTGTTGTGTTTTAATGTGGAGTAGAGATGCTTTAGATCATGTCCTGGGTTTATCTGGGAGAAAGAAATTACTTGCAATGAGTTTGCGTATTTGTTCTGAGAAGGATTTTATTGCATTTAGGTAGCTCTTCCAGCAAGTGGGGCTTGATGATTTAAGATAAAATTATATTCTAGATAGGTCATGTTGAAACGAGCCCAGATATGACCCTACCAGCTGTGGGTCATGGTTCCCCTGTTAGCTTTAGGCACACACCCTAGCTCATACAAACCAACTCTGTGACATCAGGTATGCAGGGAAGGAAGAGTGAAACAATAGGCTTCCCCTTCAGCCCATGGGCTACGCTGTAGTTCTAGGGGATTTGTGCAGATGAGATGTCATGAATCTTAAAATATTTGAGAAGATGAACTCCCTAACTCCACTGCTCCTCCTAGCAAAACTCCACTTAGTTGAAGAGTTGGGTCTGCCTAGCCAGTTGTCGTGAGCCCCACAGGTCCCACAGGTTGCCCCGACTGATGCCACTAGTGAAGAATGATACCACTAAGAGCGCAGGTCACTCCTGGATGGGCACAGACTGTTCTCTGAGGATGACTTAGAGGTGTAGAGTGCAAGTCTCTTCCTCGCCATGGGAACGAGGAGAGCCGCTTACCCAAGTCTTAGTTTCCTGGGGTGGAGGGGCAGTTTTGGGTGATACACTCAGTAACTCATTTTATATTTCGGGGATAGTTTATTGTAATTTAATTTTAATGATTTTATATTATTATTATAGTTCTTAATAATGGCATTGCCCCTTTAAAATATTTGTTACATTTCATAAAGGCATGTATTTATATGACAAAATGTTATTTACTTTAAGAAATAATGTCACGTAGTTTGTGAAGTCAGGAGTTGATTGTGGCTTCTCTGTGTTGATAAAAGTGTGATCAAATGTTCCTCCAGACTGTTTTCTTGTAGACATGTGTAGGTTACTGAATAATTGAGCACCTGTTTGTGAAACCATTTCAAGCCCTAAAACAATCAAAACAACTAGGATTTTTTGCTGTAAAAACCCATTCATATAATGCAATACAGCCTGTGTGATTTGCTTGGATTGTATCGTTGTTTTGTTCAGAGAGGGAATAGTTCTCAACTATATCTAAAACTGAATTGAAAATGCAAATACTCAAGTGTTATATGAGTATAGTTTATATTAGAAAAATATCTATCTCATATCAGAAAAATATCTATCTCATACCAAGCTAGATGTCCTTGGTACTTAAACTCAGTCAATAATACCTAGGGATGGAAGCCAGAAGTTTCTTTATGTGCTGTTAGTTCATGGAGGTCTCCTCTAGGATATACCAAGGCTAAACTCTGTGTGTGTCTGTAGGTGTGTGTGCTGTGATGTACATTATGTACATGTACATTATGTGATGTACTATGTGTTCTAATGTCATCTGGCTGAGATATATGTTTGCAACATGAGGAATCTCATAAACAGAAACATCACAAATTTCAGAGGAAATGGAGAACATAGATATTGACCTTCAAAAAGTCAGGAGATCCTGGTATTTGCTGTAATGTGGATGGAACTAGAGAACATTCTGGTAAATGGAATAAGCCAGACCTAAGATCTTCCTTCCATGTGGAATCCAAGAAAAAATGAGAGTTAAATATACAGATAGGAAATAAAACAGTGATCATGGGGGATGGTGTGGAGGGCAGCTGGAGGTGTAGAGGACAGGACACAACATAGTGGGGTCAAGGAGGAGGCAAGCCTGGGGCCCCCATGCACACTGCGATGACCGAAGGTAAGAGTAGTCACTGTATTGTGATGTTACACAGGTACATTGTCATCTCTCTGTGCACAGTGACTGTCATATGTTAATTCTCTTTACTTCTATGGCTAGTAATCGGTTTTACTTAGTAATAAGTATTCTTATATTTTATTATAAGTTTATATTGTAAGTTTATTATATTGTAAACTTTATATACAACAAAATGAATTAAAAATGAAAGCTGGGCTTGCTGGTGCACAGCCGCAGTCCCAGTTAATTGGGAGGCTGAGGTAGAAGGATCATGAGTTTGAGGCCATCCTGGGCAACTTAGTGAGATTCTGTCTCAAAATAAATTACAATGGTCTAGAGATATATCTCAATGGTAGAAGAGTTGCTTAGCATGTGCCAAGTCCTGGGCTCAATCCCTAGTACTAAAAACATGATAACTAAATTTCTAAAAATCCTCTACAGAGTAGGTTGTTATGGTAATGGTCCTTCAACTACCAAGCCTAGTCACCCAGTGACACTTCTTGGAAAACCCAGATGTACTTGAGGAACCACCTGCTATGGAAGTAAGACTCCTCAGACAGGAAGCAATCTGTACCATACCCTGGATGTAGGAGGAGGCCTGGCCATGGAGATTCAGACCCTGCTACCCTCTTGGAGCTGGGTCATTGCTGTCCTCTGGAGCATCTTCTGCTGGAAGGTGGAATTTGCTGTGTATCCCCACCCCAAGGAAATCAGCGTGCATCACTTTAAGATGCTCCCTGGTGGCTGAGAGGCACCAGATTGACTACCTGGGAGGCTGCGGTCGCCTAGATCATAAAGGCCATCTTGGTTCCCTTGGCAGCAGCCAGGCAGTTTCCCTCCTGTGCTGGCAATATGCTTCCAAAGGAAGGGCAGCCAGAGGAGGACGCTTTCCAGGCCCTTCCCCTGTGCAGCGCCCGCAGCGAGTGAGAATGGGCATGATGATTTGGGTGCCCACGGCCATCTGCTTGCTGGTACTGGGCGGATGCCAGTGGAGTTTTCTCTCCATGGTGTCCAGGTATCACTCCCGTTATGGACCTGCCTGATTGGACCATAAAGGTCTTGCTGTAAAACTCCATGGGGTGCTGCTTTCCTGACACAGCTTTGTGAAGTTAGTCAGGTCAACCATCCCGGTTTTTCATACCAGCTATTATCATCAGGATCCAGAAGACAAGAAAAGCCAATCCCTGGTAAGCCTGGATATTTGGTGGTAGAACCTTGACTCTAAATGGATCCCAGTAGGGTAGGAAATCCCCGGGGCCCATGGGCAGTGGTGCCCCCATGAGCTCAGGATCCTCCCTCGATGGGGCTGTGGGGTGGTACTGATTGTGTCATGGTTCCAGCTCCATGCCACAGTGGAGACCTTCCAAACCCTACTTTAACCCTACATCATTGCTCATCACGTGGAAATAATGACTGTGCCTTCCAGCTCCCCGCACATCTTCCCTGTACTGATGTGCGTCTCATTCTCTCTTCCTAAGTGTCACCAGGAGCAGGGTCTTGTCCTTCTCGTCCTTTCCTTTGCATGGTTCCTGACTGGGGCTTTGCACAGAGATGGGAATGCATTTCTGGGCACTGGCTAATGTCTCAACGAAGTGCCTAAGGACACTAAGGGCAAGGTGTGACCCTGGCGAGCTCAGAAGCATTGCTCCGCGCCGGGCCCTTCACACCGTGCAGCCGATTTCACTCTTCTTCCTGTTGCAGCACCCGTGCATTTGATTCCAGAGCCACGTCCTGCCCCTGGTCACAGGTTGCTCAGTATTAATGCTTTAAGCTGGGAAAACGTGATTAAAGATGAAGAAAAAGCCAGCTGCTACATTTGTCTCAACTCCAGGATTTTCATTAGAAATTAGTGCTGATGTGAAAAACCTTAAAAGTTAGGCCACACTGAAGCTTTGATATGAAAGAGTTCATTCCCAGTTTTCCTGTGTCAGGTTTTTCTTCAGAAGTAAATCCCATGAACCACAGTTAGTGCAGTTAACAGCTGTGCAGATGCAGATTTGAAATCTGAGCGCACTCCGCCTGAAATTGAAGCCCAAAGTCTGTCGGAAGTAATTTTTCTGGCCAACAACACAAAAATCTTGTTTTACAAGACACTCTGACACTGGTAATCAGCATGATTACTATCCTCTTTTAATCACGGGGTGTGCCTTGCTTTCTAAATGGCAATGGGACTTCATTAGAACATGTTGGCTCTCAAATAAGAATAGAAAATTAAATGTCTACACATTTCCTGAACCTGATGCTTTAGAGTGTGGGACCTCGTGTTTCCCAGCCTGGCTGGCTGTTAGAATCATCCGAGGAGCTTCGGGGTCTGGTTCCTGGGGTGATGTTTTCAAATTATCAAATCACTGAGCACTGTGACCTGCAGGGAGGCCAGAAATATGTATTGAAATTTGCATAAATTGCTGGTGTAATAATATAAACCCTTATAATAAAACAACAAGCACACCCATGCACAATTAAAACCACGCAGAAACAAAATATAAAGTGAAAGTAAAGCAAGGTTTGTCAAACAGACTCAGGTGCCCCAAGTTTGCTGATGCACTATGCACAGTGGCCAAGAAATAGGAAGAACTTACGCATCCACGGACTGATGCCTGGACAGACAGAACATGGATACAGGCACACCATGGAACCCCACTCAGCCGTGAGCACGGAGTGAATCCTGCCATTAGTCAAATCATCAACAGAACAGAGGTCATTCTGGTGACTGAAATGAGCCTCAAAGACAGGGGTGGGTCTCCTAGCACAGTAGCGATTACCAGAGACAGAGATGGGGATGGAGCAAAATGACCCAGTTACAGGAGGAGAAAGGTGCTTGGGCCTGAGATGGCTCAGTAAGGAGACTCAGGGGACAGTTAAGTACTGCACGGCTGTCTCTATGAGCCAGCAGGAAGAGCTTTGAAGTCTTCTTCATGGAGAGATGGGGGGTGTTTGAAGTGGTCATCATGTTTAAGCTGCTTGAAACTTTATCCAGTGTACACATGTACCGAAGCAGCTCACGGCACGGCACTGATGTATAATGTTATGTTCCTCTCTAACAGTTAAAATATGACTTAAATGTTAAAAAGTAGAACAGACAGCCTCTCCCATTCTTCAGAGGGCAATAATTCCGATACTTCCTGTGCATATAAATCTTCTTTGTCTGTCTGAAATCATATGACACTCTCATGTGTCCCTGCATCC